TCACGGTGGCTCCACTTCCCATCTCCACTCCTCCAGTATCTTGATGACAGATCCCCTCTGGCCCCAGGCCAACCAGGCTGGTAGGGGTGGAGAGAAGGACAAATTCATTCAGCAGCTTCAACAGACTTAGGCCCCAGCCCAGCTGAAACCAGAGCTGTGCATCAAGTTCCTTGCACAGAGAGAGACCACTCTTTCTGTAACTCATTCAGGCAAAAGGACCAAGACAGAGTGCTCCTCCACATTTGGATGGAAGACGCCAAAGTTTCCTCCACATGGTGATGTCTGCTGAGGTTTTTCCTTCTGCACCTTTGTGGGGAGTGTCTGGAAGCAGATTCCTCCCTTGGTTCAACCCTCACCCATATAGAATCAAGGGAAAAATTATCTTTAGGGACTACCTTGGGAGATGCCTAAAAGTTATTGGTGCTTATTTGTAGGCAGAGTTTTCTTTCTCGCCAGCTAGTTCCCAAATAACCACATGGAAACTTAATATTAATTATAAATGATCAGCCAACAGCTCAGGCTTATTACTAATTAGCTCTTACAACTTAAATTAACCATTTATATTCATCTACATTCTGTCACATGGAATTACCTCTCTTTCATCTTGCACCTCCTGTTTCCTCCCTGTGTCTCACTGGTGATTCCTCTGACTCTGCTCTTCTTCCCAGCATTCTCTCTGACCAGAAAATTCTGCCTAGTCATTGGCCAATCAGCTTTTTATTAATAATGAGAGCAATACATATTTAGAGTGTACAAAGATTGTTCCACAGCACTTATTTGGTTGGGGAGGGAGTGTTACACATACACGTGTGTGATATGATCTCACAGTGTAGCCCAGATTGGCCCTACTAACTCATCTTCCTGAGTAACTGGGACGACAGGAAGTGCCCCCATTCTTGCCTCAGTGCCCTGATGTATTGAAGACCAAATTGTACCTGGCACATATCAACTGTGTCTCTTTAAGAAAGTTCTATTTATCGCACTGAAGTCTCACTGCACAGGTGCTCCGAAGCTCCCCATTAGGAACCATGGACTTCCCTGATCACCACCAGCCAGGGGAGGAGTACTGGGGAGTGGAAAGCTGCCTCATCTGTCTGATACATTCGAGTGCTTCATGTGTGCGGAAAATTGTAGTTATTAGGAAGCTGTAAATTGGAACCTAAGTGTCTGTGCTTCTAGTGCCAGGTGTGAAAAGACTTGGTCAGTTTATTAGATAATTGAGAAATTCTTAACTATTTTCAGCAGAGAAATGTTAATAGTCGAGCAAGAGGCCTAGGACTTTCAGGTTTGGTGTGGGGGCTGAGAGGTGGACGTTCCTGGTAAAAAGAAGGAATGCTTGGGTAGAAGCAAAAAGAAAACAGATGTGTCTCCTTGACAGCCAAGGTTTCATGAGGAAACCTCATGCCTTCCTCAAGCCCTGCCCCTACCACAATCCAACATGTAGCTGGCATAGTTTTATTTGTAAACAAAGGGAGGTTCATATTTCATTTGAGTGTGAGTTTATCCACACTCTAGCAGTTTCAAAGATAGGGAAAAGTACTTTAACACCTACAAAAATGATTAATATCTGGGGAAAGTTTTTATTGTCTTCCCTTTTTATTATTGTTTGATTTTATTATTGTTTGATTCTCTGTAGCCCAGGTCAGCCTAGAACTCATTACATAGCCCAGGCTGGCCAGGAATTTGTGATTCTCCTGCCTCAGTCTCCCTAGTTACAGGATTATAGAAATAAGCTACCATGTTGATTGCCATCACTTTTTTTTGTGTAGATGGCATTTTTACACGGATATTTGTGTGTACTCTGCATTCCCCACCCCATTTGGGGGGTGGGGTTCCAGACAGGGTTTCTCTGTGATGTCCTGCCTATTCTTTAACTCACTCAGTAGACCAGGCTGGCCTTGAACTCAATAGATCCACCTGCCTCTGCCTCCGGAGTGCTAGGATTAAAGGTGTGCGCCACCATCACCCGACATTTTTCCCCTGCAGTTTTTTCTTTAATAGTATTTTAAAATAATCATCCTGTGATGTTATAAATTGTTGGTAATATTTTTAATGGTTTCATAACATTTTAGAGAGACTATCTGTGGGTTTCCTTAATTTCTTAGTCCAAAATTTTCCACACAATGCTTGAAATTCAAGTTTCTTCTTTTACAAATACAAGTATGTTTAAATATCTTTCAATTATCTATCACCAATTAATATCTGTCGTCTATCTACATTTATCAAGAGAAGACGAGGATAGAAAAGAAAACGGAGATGTTGTTAAGAGATGCGAAAAGGAACAGAAGGTTATTCCACGTAGCAAACACAGATCCTGGTCGTGGTGCTTAGGCAAGCAGAACTGTTGCCACAACTGCAGGATAAGCTGGGGAGGAAGCCCCTCCCTGGGACTGCGGACTGCTTGGCTACGCCCTCGCCGCTGCGGAGTTTGGCCTTGGCCTCGAGCGGTCTCTGGCGCCCCCTGCCGTTCACTTCGCGACCTTCCGTTTCTAGTCCCCCTCTCTTGGCCCCCTTCTCCATTTTGTGTCTCTGGGGCTTTCCCCTGGCCATTCCCTCCCCTGCCCCTTCGAGCCCTCCCGCGTGTTAATTTCAGAGTCCTCTCCCGCGGTCACTCTTGCGGAACTAGCTGGTTTCACTAGGCCCAGAAGGAATGGGCAGAATGGGAAGCCCAGAATGGCTGGCCAGCAGGGCCAAGGCTCCAGGCCCCTCTTGGTACTGCGGCAGTGGGAGTTAATCTGGAGCTGTCGCCCGGAAACCTCCGAACTGAAACCCCTGGACTAAAGCAGCTCTGCATTCTGGTTCTAAGAGGAGGTATCAAGAAGAGCAGAACATTTTGGGGTTTGATGATTGTGACATTTGCAGGGTCATGGACTCCATTTCCCTATATACAGGCAGAGGAATTGGGGCATGAGGGAAGTCGGGAACTCTCAGGTCTTTGGGCACTGCGACTTGCCACTCCTTGGTTCAGGTGTCCATAAGTGCCTAAATGGCATCTCAAGAGAGCAAGACAACTATTCGGGAGCCAGCAGAGGGGATTGTTGGTGCTAGGAAGCAGTCTCCTCCCCAAGTCCTTTTCACCAGTTAATATCCCTCCCTGTTCATTTTGCATCCCTTTACCCCATTTTCTCAAATCCAACCCAGTCTAGTCCCAGGGTCTACTCCACATGCACACATACGCTCAGACACTGCCACCAGTGCTGCACAAATCGGGTAGGAAATCATCCCAAGTGGGAACCAATTAGCATTCCATCTCATCTAGAATCATTCTTTCCCATGCTTCCATTTGCTTGGACCAGACTATCTCTGCTGCCACCATAGGAATAGTTTTCAGGCAGGAGACATGACCCTTACTAGACAAATGTGAAGACTGAAGCCAGAAAGCACCAAGCTGCTGCTCTAGAGACCCAGAGACCTAGGAAGTAGCGCCAGTTCACCTGTGGAGCTGCCTGGAGAGAAGGGAACCTGCTAACATTGGTGCTGTAGATTTCAGCCAAGACACTGTTTCACTGGAACGTTTTAGATCTCCGAACTTAGATGCCTGGCTGGAGCACACAAAAGCTTTGGATCCACACGTATTTTTCCATTTATTCTTCTACCAAGTGAGCTAACTAGGTCATTTTCACTTATCTGTCTGTACATTCACATGTGTAGAGAGAGCTCTTTGACCACTGAGATGCAAAGGGGTATATGAAGAGCTCAGCGGAGGAAGGCAGGACTACATCACATTTAGGTGCAGTTAGGAACCACAGAAGACCTGTTTTAAGTCTAGGGGTGGGAAAGGGGGTGCTACCTTTCTGGTACTTCATAAAGGGCTATGGCCAACACTCTATAGCCAAAGAGTAGTTAACACAAGGAAAGCACAAAAAAGGTTTCATCACAGTTTTACTTAATACAGTGTTACTGGGGAAATTGCGGTTCCCATTTGGATTCTTAGTCTCCTTAATAAAAAGAATTTTAAAACAGACTGAGAAGGAAGCTCAAGGACCATTTTATTAGAGTTTAAAAGAAATGCAACAAGGCAGGGGATCTGTAATTTTGCCAGCTGCCAAGTGAAAGGAGAGTCAGGGTTTGAGAAAGCTGGCATGTAAAAAGCATGGCAGGTAAAGGAATTTCAGAGAGCAAGTGAGAAAAATCCAGTGTCAGGAAAAGATGCTTAGGCTTTTGGCCAGTATCCAAAAAAGAGATAGATAGGAGGGAAAGTTACTCTTTTTAAGCTAAGGAGGCTTAGCGGTGCTTTAAGCAGAAGCTCTGTGAGCAACTACATTGGAGGGGGGGCTTCTGGGAAGTATACGTATGTCACTTCATTAAGGGAATAACTGTTCTTTCCATCTCCTTAGCATGCCCTTTTGTGAACCAGCTTTCTTGAGGCATGGTCTCCTGGCCAGGTGATTGACAAACTTAGTTGGAGTAACTCTAAGGGAGGAGACAATAGCATGTAATATTCTAATCTTTGGAGCAAATCAAAATGTCCTGTCTCTGGGTCCCAGGGTCAGAGGTGAAACTCAGATTCCATTCCTTTGGCCAGGAGAAAATAACTTCCCCTGAATGAGCCTCAGCAAAACCTTGACACTTCCATCTTTTCATATGGTATTTTAAATCCTAAAGGGAAATTATGAAGCTTCCCTTTCTAGTGTTACCAGGGAAACAGGAAGTGTGACCAAAGCAGATCATGGGAGAGGGATCCATCCTCAGAATCATCCAAAATCAAATT